TAGAACTGTATTTATTTATGAGAGGGTGTGAGTGAGTGAGGGGCAGGGAGAGGAGACAGAGAAGCAGGGCCCACCCAAAACAGGGCTTGTGCTCCCCCAGTGCTCATCCAGAGTGGGGCTCATGCTCCCCCAGTGTGGGGCTCCATCTTATGACCCGTGAGATCATGAACTGAGCCGAAGTCGGACAGTTCAACCGACTGAGCCACCCAGGCACCCCTAAAAGGCTTTTTCTTATAGGCACAAGTGAATAATGCCAGCAGGATCTTTGTGAGAGAGTGGGATAAACTGATGGGGATTAGCTGATGACATGAGTATGGTAATTTAACAGGAGATGGTTTTTTTGTCTTTTTTTTTTTTTTCGTCTGTGGTCACCTTATGCTCAGAATGAGTCCTTAAGAGAGGATGTTCTCCATTGTCTTGCTTAAGTTGAGAGCTAGCCAGAGTTTAGCAGTATGAGGTAAACTTTACTAGACTTTGGACAAGTCAATAGGTAAGTAATGGCATTTGTGAGCACTCGGCCAGTACTTAATGTAAAATCCTTTTGGGTTTATGGCAGATATATTGGTTCTGGAAAATACCTTTTAGATATTAGTACAGGTTCTGGAAAATACCTATTAGATATTAGTAGATATGTTTACCATTTTATTGTCAGGCAGTGAACTCTGCCAGGGATTGAGGATAAACTTAGTTTAAGATATTGCTGCTGTTGACAAGGGGTAGTAGTAAATATATTTTTAAAAATGCTAATATCAAATAAATGGTAAAGACTGTAAGGGCTTAAAGAAGGAAAGCTAAGACAATAGGAAAGAGTGATTGATTAGATAAGATCTGAATCTGGTCTTGAAGAACTTGCTTGCTGGGATAATGAGAGAGAAGTATGGAGTAGGCAGGAAAATGAATACACTGTGGTGATGTAATATGATGTACTCACAGTCAGTGTGTTAAAAACCAGTTTGTATGATCCAGAGACTATGAAAGTAAGTTAGGGTCATAGGTAGAAGTCACCCGGTGGTGGCCTGAAGTATTGAGGCTTTTTATTTTAGGCAAAGGAAATCCAAAACGTTTTTGAATGAGATACAGTAGAAGTATTGGAAGTGGAAAAGAGTTGGGAGAGTTGAGATCATTTACTATTAAAGTAGTTTAGGATAGTGGTTCTAAAAATGGAAAAGAAACAGATTTAAGGACATCCTAAAGAAGGATCAGCAAGATAGTAATTGGCAGACTGGGGGAGAAGGAAGGTGTCAAAAAGGGTTCCATAGTGTACCAGTGAGATAAGAAAAATGGTGGTACTGTTGACTCTTGAAGTTTTGTTTTGTTTTTGGTGGATTGGGGGGCAGACGATGAATTTAATTTAATGGCTAGAAGAGATAGCCAACAAGAGGTTATAGGTGTAATAGTGAAGGTTAGGGTGGAGATGATGATTTAATAATTTCCTGAATAGAGTTGCTTTGTTGACCAGATGAACTTGGCTTTCTCTACTACACTTTTGCATTTCAGGAACAATAGAGAATTTTGGGGATATCCAAATTTGAGAAGTGGAGGGAAGATTTTAAACTAAAAGGCAGATGAAGCATGACCAGAAAAATAGGAATAACAGTATAGTATATATAAGGAGAACATTCTGTATAGGTAGGGATATGGTCAACATTGTTGAATGCTAAATAGAGTTCAAGAATGAGGACTGAGATGGGGGGATGGGCATGGAGGAGGGCACTTGTGGGAATGAGCACTGGGTGTTATGTGGAAACTAATTTGACAGTAAACTATTTGTAAAAAAAAAAGAAAAGAAAGGTAGATAAATAAACCCAAAAACTGGAAAAAAAAAAAAAAAAGAATAAGGACTGAGAAAAGGCCATTGGATTTGGTTAGGAAGACTTGGAGCAAGTATAGTTGAGAGATGGGTGGAGAGTTAGTCTAAATTAGACCAAGAGGTGGTGGTATGAAGTGTATGCAATGTTGTAAGATTTGTGGTTAGGAGAAATATAATTCTCTTGGTGATAGCAGGCTTAGGGATATTAAAGTTTTTTGATAGCACGGACCTGGCAGGAGTCCTTGAAGATCTGAGAAATAGGGAATAATCCATAGAACAAAGTTGCAGAGAGGAAGTAGGGAGGTTGAATTAGAAGTATTGCTTTAACCTTATAAAGGAGAAAGGGTAACTTGTTATTTGAGATTGTGGACAAGATAAAGGAAGATGGGTTGGACATGTAGAGATTTTTGAGAAGTTTAAATTAAGATGTTAGGGATACGTGGCATTTACCTTGTTAGGGTGAACTCTAGGATTTCCTTTTAACAGTTGGTAGGTTTCTGTTCGTTCGTTCGTTCGTTCCTTCCTTCCTTCCTTCCTTCCTTCCTCTCTCTCTCTCTCTCTCTCTCTCTCTATTTTTAAAGATCTTATTTTTAAGTCATCTCCACACCCAACATGGGGCTCGAACTCACAATGCTGAGATCAGGAGTTGCATGCTGTAGTAACTGAGACAGCAGGGGTCCCTAAGTATAGTCCTTTAGAAATTGTAATTATAAACAGTACTGCGAGGTCAGAAGAGGTTAGCTTGTTCCTCACCCCAACCTTCGTTTATTCCCCTTGTACTTAGGCTTTTGAGGTCTTAAAAGGGTTCTTTGGATTTTGTAGACCAAGTGTTCAGTATAAATGTTTGACTTGAAAATCATAAACAGACTTATCAGATTTCTCTAATACCTAATGCCATCTGCACATTTGGGACACAGTTTTCCAAGGATACTGCCGTAAAGAAAGGTGCTCAATAAATATCAGATTATTACCAGTTTTGGATTTTAAATTGTAAGTGCTCAGGCTTAGCCTTGTGCTCTTCACTAATAGAGACTCTTTCTGATTTTTTTGAACTGGCTCTAATACCAGGGGCTCGATATAAGTGCACTGGACACTGTGGGTGCAGATAAATCAGTATGATGAGTGAAGGCATGAATTAGTTAAAAGTGAATCTGTGAGGGAGATTTATAAGTTTTCAATAACAGTATTAGATGTACAGAATAAGCAGAAAGAGCTCTTTGTTACTTAAAAAAAAATCCATCCACCTATTTGTTTTTGACTAAGAAAGTTGAATTTAAGCTTTGTTAGAAGGGAAATTTACATTACAGATGAAACTGGTGGATTTTATAACTCCCATTTGGCAGCCATAATCCATAAACTGGCTTAAACATCTTTTTTTCTTTATGCTTTTTTGAGCACCGTAAAAGCATAAAAAAGAGATAGCAATTACTTTTAAATGGTACTTGGAATTGGCTTTGGATGACACACTTTTAGACCTTTAGTAAGTAATTGTGGGAGAAGATTGTGTAGGTTATTGTATAACTCTGGTATTACTTTTCTTCCCTCATTTGTGTTATCTCAGCCTTTAGATCTGTGCTATCTAATACAGCCACTTGTCTATTCAATTGTAAATGAATTAAGATCCAATAAAACTAAAGATTTAATTTCTTGGTCATAGTAGCCACATTTTAGGTGCTCCCTAGCCATATGTGGCCACTGGGTACTGGGGAGAGTATATTTCTGTTATCACAGAAAGTTGTGTTGGATTGTTACAGTATAGAGCTTTAATTACTAATGGTACCTGGAAACTGAATATCAGGAACTTGGAATAGATAACATAGAAAACCCCAAACCATGGAATTTATACAACTTCAATCCTAACAACTTCAGCCTTCTCGAAGATAAATATTATTTCTTTAGGATAAGCTTTATATTTAATTTTGGTCTTTGGTCGTATCAGAGGTCATTCTGATAATGTAAAACAATAAAATAGTTGTGTTAAGAACTATCTCTTTTTTTTTTTAATTTTTTTTTAAGGTTTTTTTTATTTATTTCTAGAAAGAGAGAGTGAGCAGGGGAGGGTCAGAGAGAGAGGGAGTCACAGACTGAAACAGGCTCTAAGCTCTGAGCTGGCAGTCAGCACAGAGCCCGACGCGGGGCTCGAACCCACGAACCGTGAGATCATGACCTAAGCGAAAGTCGGACGCTTAACCGACTAAGCCACCCAGGCGCCCCAAGAACTATCTCTTCTAGACTGTTTACTTAACAGGTTAATTAAGACATAATTGATGGTACAGTACATTGTGTGTATGGAAAGTATAATGTTTAATTATTTTTGATATGTATATATCTTTGGAGCTGTCATCATATCCAACCTGATATACCTATTACCAACAGGTTTCCTCATGCCTCTTTATAATGTTCCCTGTATAATCCCTGTTGTTTTTTACCCTCTCTGTCCACCTCTAGACAGTCACTGATTTGCTGCTTTTTGACAATAATTTGAATGTTCTAAAATTTTCTAAATGCAGTCATGTAATCCATGTTCTCTCTCTCTTTTTTTTTTTTTTTGGTGTGACTTTTTTCACTCTACATAATTATTTTGAGATTCACATTCTATATGAGATTCCGTATTACATGTACAAATAATTCATTACTTTTTATTTTATGGATGTATCACAGTTTGTTGATCTGTTAGTTTGTTGATGACTGCTGCTGTCGATAAGCTGCTGTGAACATTTATATACAGGACTTTGTATTGACATACGGTTTTGTTTCTCTTGAGTAAATACCTAGGCATGGAATGGCTGAATCATATGGTAGGTTGTATGTTTAACCTTTTATGAAACTGCCAAACTAATTTCCAAAGTGGCTGGACCATTTTACATTCTCCCCAGTAGAGTGTGAATGTTCTGCTGGCTCCATCGTTGGGAATTCTTGGAACGGCCAGGCTTTTTAATTTTATGTGACAGAATATTTCAACAAAAAAAACTGTCCTAGTAGAATTAATTCCTTGCTCTTGCAACTTTTTGTATTTAAGTGTTGCAAAAACAGTATTTTGTGAAAAGATTTTAAGACAGTCTTCTATAGATTTATTTACTCTTATTTTTGATAGTATTTGTTCACTAATGTTGATTTGAAACTCAACTTACAAGAGCCATTACATTTCCTTTCTTCTTACTTATTTCTCTCTTTTTTTTTTTTGTTCTAGCGGCCCCTTTGTTGCTTTATGCAAACAGACGGGACTTGCGATTGGTTGATGCTACGAATGGCAAAGAGAATGCTACGATTGTAGTTGGAGGCTTGGAGGATGCAGCTGCGGTGGACTTTGTGTTTGGTCATAGCTTGATATACTGGAGTGATGTCAGCGAAGAAGCCATTAAACGAACAGAATTTAACAAAACTGAGAGTGTACAGAATGTTGTTGTCTCTGGATTATTGTCCCCTGATGGGCTGGCATGCGATTGGCTTGGAGAAAAATTATACTGGACAGATTCTGAAACAAATCGGATTGAAGTTTCTAATTTAGATGGATCTTTACGAAAAGTTTTATTTTGGCAAGAGTTGGATCAACCCAGAGCTATTGCCTTAGATCCTTCAAGTGGGTAAGTTTTGTGCAATGTATAAAGGCTGTTGCATCTCCATTTCCTGGTTTCTTTAAAAAAAAAACAACCAACTTACGTCTTTATTTTATTTTGAGAGACAGAGACAGAGAGTGAGGAGGGGAAGGGCAGAGAGAGAGGGAGACACAGATTCTGAGGCAGGCTCCAGGCCCTGAGCTGTCAGCACAGAGCTTGAAGCGGAGCTCGAACCCACAGACTGTGAGGTCATGACCTGAGCCGAAGTCGGACGCTCAACTGACTGAGCCACCCAGACGCCCCTCCATTTCCTGGTTTCTTTCTGCTAGCATAGATTACTTCCCCCAGCCCCAAGAGAAAAGAAAGGTCAAAAACCCAATTTTAGATTCTTTGAGCTTCTCTTCAAATAGACTTGAATGTGGGAAATTATGTTGTGTCCTTTAAGATGTTTCTGTAAATAGTTTCTAATATCACTTATGGGACAGCTATTTATACAGTTCTTGGTTTGTTTTCTGCATTTAATAAGTATGAGAGGATAATTAGAAAGCACAGAAGAAGGAATGAAGACCTAACAAGAGTAGTATTTGATAGCTCAAGATAATATAAAAAAATCCTACGGATTTATGGATCTTATAGCTTTCATTGTATATGCAATCATTTGTAATACTAGTGTCTTTTTATTAAACCTTGAACTATTATTTAATAATTTAATATGTCAGTATTGAATGAAAAATAAAAATTAAGTTGTTAAATAAGCCATTTTTAAACAGATTTACTGTAAAGATTTATTTTCTAGTGAGAAAGGAAACTTAAAGCCAATGGTAAATCCCATTAGAAAATGTGAATAGTGTCATTACATGCTTTAACTCTCCTTCACTTCTACCATATGCCATTCCTTGATACTTATTGAATATGTTGTCATGCCAGGGTCTGTCATAGTAGGTGTAGATAATCATCTAAACATGAACCTGAGATGAGTTACTTGTAATTTAAAATATAAAAATAAATAACCTACAAATAACCATTTTAACACTTTGTTTTCTTTGACTTCCAAGTATGTTGGAATGCTTTAAAGTTCATTTATAGAGGTGCCTGGGTGGCTTAGATGGTTAAGCGCCTGACTTCGGCTCAGGTCATGATCTCACGGTTTGTGAGTTTGAGCACCGTGTCGGCCTCTGTGCTGACAGCTCAGAGCCTGGAACCTGCTTCAGATCTTCGTCTCCCTCTCTTTCTGCCCCTCCCCTGCTTGCTCTCTGTCATTCTCTCTCTCAAAGATAAATAAACATTAAAAAAATTAAGAAATCAAACTCATTTATAGAAGGGAGTGGGTTAATGTTATTTAATAGAACTTGGGGAAGAAAATGAAAGGAAGAAATGTCCTTTTTTTTAATTAAAAAATTTTTTAAAATTTTTTTTTATTTCTGAGAGAGACAGAGACAGCATGAGCAGGGGAGGGTCAGAGGGAGAGGGAGACACAGAATCTGAAACAGGCTCTGGCTCTGAGCTGGCTGTCAGCACAGAGCTTGATGCAGGGCTTGAACCCACGAACTGTGAGATCATGACCTGAGCCAAAGTTGGACGCTTAACTGACTGAGCCACCCAGGTGCCCCGTATGCTCCTTTGTCTTGATATCAAGCCTTACTTGTTGACAAAGTTTAAAGAAGATGCTGTGTTGTAGGAAAATGAAAAGATTTGTCTGACCATGAAGGATAACATGGGCAACAATGTAGTGAAACTTTAAAATGAGAATTTCTGGAACAAGCACACACATCTATCTGTATAATATATATTAAAAATTGTATAAGTTTTAGAGAGGGAATTACAAGGTATCTGCTAAAGTCAGGATGGTCTCTTAATAAAGCATGAGAAAATACAGTGGTTCTAGAGGTAGGAAAAAGGGTTGAGTGTCCTGAGGAGGAGGTCACAGATGTTGGATATGCCGTAAACTGTACTGATTGAAGAATTTGGTTGTTGAAAACTTGAAAGATATTTTCGACAAATGAAATCTGTGTTTTTCCAACAGTTTGTGAGTCTCAGAGAGTGTTGAAATGTTTGTGAGGTTACCAAGCACACAGGGTTTTGGTGCTTTCAGTGGAACTTGGTAAAAAGATAAATAGTTCTTAAAAAAAATTTTTTTTTTGGCAAACTTAATTATGTAACTGTAAGGGTGATGATGGAAATTTAGCCAAATATCTGTTAAATAGTATGTTTAGAGCTCTCTCTGCTTTCTGTGCTCTTTTTGGAGAGAAGGGGAGAATATCTTTAAGGATTTACAGTGTATTTAAGGACAGAAAACTTGGGAGAGAGAACTTTCCCTTTTTCAAAAGCCTGTTTATTTGCATTATGTAGCGTGTATGTGGAGGGGGGAAGAGTGTTAAAGAAAACTGGAAGGGTCACAAGGGCTCTTACGGAGGATGGGTGGGTGGATAAAAGAGCTCGATTACCACAGTTCTGGAGCAGCCTATAGATCATTTCTATAAGGGATAATATGCTAGTACATCATGTAAGGGATAATATGCTAGTACATATTGAAGGGAGCTGAATTTGTAGGTAACTCTGTGGACTATTTAGGATCTAATAATTTAATGATTAAATGAGTCATTCTCATTTTGTGCCCTAAAACTAATGAGTTTACTTGTGGGTGTCAGGTCCGATAAGTGTCTTAGGAAGTAAGTTTACCATATGGTTAAAAAATACATTGTAGTTTTTCTGTGGGTAACTTCCCTGATATTGAAGATGAGAAACCACCAAAGACTCAGCTGATCAAGAATATTACTGGAAGAATCAATAGAAGTGTGCTTTGAAAGTAGAAAGTAGTGTTATTTAAGCTTCTAAGGGATGTTGAGTGAAGACTTTTTCATGAGGCCTAAAGTTTGGTGAGACACTCAATGAAATATTTTTTCATTATTTTTGAAGGTTGTGGTTAGTGTTGCCTATGTGTAGGAGTGTGTGTGTAAATTACTCCCCCATCCTAAAAATCTTTTTTAATTTTTGGAAAGTTATGTGTCCTATTGTGGCTATTTTTTAAATTACACAACTGGAAATAAATAGAATGCAGCCAAATGGTATACACTTGGTAGTTAGCATGATGGAGTATAAAATTATATTTTAAACTCATGCATTTAAAAACATATTCTATCAGTCTTCAGTGTTGATCTTAGATTTATGTTAAGGATTGTGGTTTTACTGGAAAAGTAATTTTAGATTGAGTACATCACTTATCAAACAGAAGAGATGATTTCCAGATTTATTTTTGGGGGAGGGGGGAAATGAAGTTTACTTTCCAGAGAAAGTACATGAAAACAGTGCTGAAGAAAAATGTAGGCTTTATCAGAGTTCCAATATCCTGGGTTATGAGGTTCAGAAGAGCTGACTGAGCTCTCTCACATCAGCTAATGTAAAAGGAAAGCTATTGAATGACTGGTATTGTTTGCGCCCTGGGAACTAGTGCAGACATCTGTGTGCTTTCGGATGTATGGAGTTCTTTGTGTAATCAGTCCATTTAGCCTAGACTGAAGGAAGATTTTTATTTCCCTCCCTAAATTTGGCCTCTGTTAGTCTGAGATTTTTTTTTCCCTTTTGAGTGATGGCAGTGTAGAATTCAGAATAAGGAACAGGATAATGTGTGTATACAAATTGTTCCAGAAATGAACAACCATACTTAGAGAAAGTAGTATTCTTACTTTATTGTGAGAGGTATTTCTGACCGTGTGGCTGCTCTAATTGTGGAGTTCCTTGGTCTGTTCCACAGTGACTGTACTAATCTTGGTGATGTTGAGGGCCAGCTGTTTCAGGTACAAATAAAGCAGTTTTAAGGGTTTCTTGTTTGTTAAGGATCTGTTCATATTTCAGATCTTTTTGGATATTTTTGACAAAGTAAAACTTTAGTGATTCAGTCTGAAGTGAATTCATACTGAACCACTGTGAATGATACATATTTTTAAATATATTTTTATCATGAATATTTATAGTACCAAGAGTTCTGCTTTAAAAATGCTTACAGAACTAACTCATTGGAAAAAGAATAATGTATACTTCCCCCAACAATTATATACATTTAATTGTCAGAGCCTGAGTATGTTTAAAAGTATTTTCTACACTGGTATGTTCCAGGTGACTAAATCATTCTTGCCACATAGAAGGTGTTAAATAAATATTTTTTGAGTGACTGGACTTTATATTTTCTTTCATAATCCTATTGGTTTTCCTTGTTGGAGGAGAAAGTGTTTTCTGAGCAAATGTAAATTTTATCATCATCTCATGAATTCTACCTCAGTATGGTTTTGATTATAATTGTTTATTTAAAACATATTTAAGATTTTTAGTCTTTTTGATTCAATTCATCAAGCTTATTATTTTATAGAAACAGACTCACTGGAGCTCGTTTTATGTCCCATGTAGCTCTCTTACTTATCTATTAAGTCACTTTATCTTTTTGGACTTCAATTTTCTCATCTCTAAAATGATGGGTTTCTTTCAGTTTTGACATTGTTTAAGCTTAAAAAGTGAAGATGTTTAAATAAGTACTCTATTAATTTAAAATTATTTACTTTACAATTACACATTCAATTCCATAATTTAGTGTATGTTACACTTAGAATTATTTCTGCAGAAGAGATTCTTTTTAAAAAGTTTTAAAAATATTTTTAAAATGTTTTTTTTTTTTTTATTTTTGAGAGAGAAAGTAAGAGAGAGAGAGTGTGTGTGCACAAGTTGGGGGAGAGGCAGAGGGAGAAGGGGATGGAGGATCTGAAGGATCTGAAGTGGGCTCTGTGCTGATAGCAGAGAGTTTGGTGCGGGGCTGGAACTCACAAAGCTTGAGTTCATGACCTGAGCCAAAGTCAGACGTTTAACTGACTGAGCCACCCAGGTGCCCCTGTGCAGAACAAATCCTTAAAATTTGTTTCTAATGCCCTTATTGTGTAGGTCATCACACTCAACCTCCTTTTTTTTTTTTTTGGGCTGTTTAATCCGTAAAACCAGTTTGCCAGTTCTACTTGGTGTAAATTGGAAAATACTTTAAACTG